TGCTCGGATTGAGTTGGGCAGGTCATTCCACCAGAAGGGAACAGTTAATGAAAAAGTCTGTGAAAGTGATTTTGTGCCTCTTTGAGATGGCACAATAATACGCCGTTCACTTGCAGAACGCAAGCTTCTAGAGGGCACATAACTCTGAAGTAATGAATTCAGGTAAATGGGTGCAGAGCCAGTGTTGGTTTTGTAGGCAAACATTAATGCCTTGAATTTAATGCGAGCAGCTGCTGGTAGCCAGTGCAAATTGATGAGCAGAGGTGTGACATGCGTTCTTTTCGGCTCATTAAAGATTAGAGGCATTTTGGATTAATTGTAGAGGTTTGATAGAAGTGGCTGGAAGACCTGCCAAAAGAGCATTGCAATAGTCCAGCCTGGATAGAACAAGAGCTTGAACAAGGAGTTGTGTTGCATGTTCTGAAAGAAAGGGCCTGATCTTCCTAATGTTGTATAAAGCAAATCTGCAGGACCGGGCAGTTTTAGCAATGTGGTCTGAGAAATTCAGCTTATCATCAATCATAACTCCAAGGTTTCTAGCTGTTTTTTTGTTAACAAAAGTTTATGCGGTATAATATATAAAATGTGTAATAAACATTATTTTACCAAAGTGTCTAGTCGACGTATCGGATAATCAATATATTTATATTATAAACATATAATTTCTGACAGCTAAAATAATAGTACCACATGAAGGAGAAGTCTATTCAGTAAATACATTTAAAATTAAAATTAAATTTTTTTTTATTTTATTTATCTGTACTCGGTTATTAATAATAGTTCGCAAAGTTTTTTGCATCTTAATATTTGTGAAGAAACCATACCTTTTTAGGATTTTTTGATTAATAGAAAGTTCAAAAGAACTTATTTTAAAAAATAGCAGTTATTGGAGATATACATTTGACATCTCTACATTATAAATGTCTTTGCTGTCCTTTCTGATTAAAAGTAATAATTAATAATTATTATAATTTTTTAAAAATCATTTGAACTGCAGTGTCCCCTGTTTCCACAAATCAACATATTAGAATGATTTTTGAAGGATCATGTGACACTGAAGACTGGAGTAAATTCAGCTTTGCCATCACAGGAATAAACTACATTAAAACATGAATGACAATAGAAAACAGTTTTTTAAAATTGTAATAATAATTCACAATATTACTCTTTTTGGTGTATTTTTGATCAAATAAATGCATCTTAGGTGATCACAAGAGACTTATTTCAAAAACATGAAAAAATGTAAATTATTCCAAACTTTGGTAGTGCACGTTTCTTAAACTAAAATATAGCAGGGTAGTTATTATTACAAAATTGAAAAAAAAAAAAAAAGTTAGTTACCCACAGGTAAAGATTAAAGAGCCTGATATATTGACTAATTGTCAAACATTCAAATTTTAGTGCAGTCACTTTTTTTTTTATTTGTTTTTGAGTTTTTCTTTTGCCTCTTGCAACAATACAAACAACAAAAGATTGAGTTTCTGGTCAGCTTCTGGTTACAAATACTGCTGCACTGAGCATGAAAGTTATGAATGGATATCACATCACAGCGATTGTGCAGATATCACGAGCTGATCTCATTTCCTGTGCAGTTCTTTTTTCAGGTCCACAGAGAAAATAGCTCTGGCATCTGATGAATTAGCTTGTGTTGGCAGGAATGTGACAGATTATACTACTGCACGGAAAGACATTCTATTGCTCAATTATCTCTAATTAACTGCTCAAATGATTCTGAATAGTTATAAATGATTTAATGTAAACCAGCATGCAAAGCTATGGTTTTCATGTGTTTAGATCGTGCCATTATTCCGGTCAAAGCGAACCAAAGCTGATCTGATTCATTTAAAATGTAAATTCCTGATCATCACACTGGGTAATGACAAAATGTAAGGGCTCACAGGATATATTTGCATTTAGTGATGCCTTCTTTCCCAGTAAGCTGTCAGAGATCCATGGAGTGACCGCACTTGAATAGATTCCTCATGCGAGATAAGAAGAGATTGTGCCATTCAAGGGGTGGCGTCTGCCAGCATCATTCAGCATAATGGACTAGTTGGTTTGTTGCCTGGCTGATCACACTTGCTTAAAGGCGTCATATGATGCTTTTTTAAAGATCATTATTTTGTGTATTTGGTGTAACAGAATATGTTGACATGCTTTAATGTTAAAAAAACCCATTATTTTTCAAATACTGTACATTATTGTAGGTCCTCTATGCCCCGACACTCTCTCAAACGCTTCGTTTTCTACAAAGTCCCTCCTTCCGACAAGCACAGTCTGCTCTGATTGGCCAGCTGACCCAGTGCATTGTGATTGGCCGAACACCGCAAGCACTCGTCGGAAATGTAACGCCCCTTACCATAATCGCGAGCTTCATCTTTCAAAATAAATGTAAAGACAGTAAATAATGTCATTAGTTTTACCATCAGTTCAAGCCCGAGAGGGGAACAGACACAGTAATGATGCAGTACACAAGCCGCGGTTAAGACAGCTGACTCTACTGTGATGTG